ACGAAAGCTGCACTGATGGGCAAAGGCAGCCTTAAATTGCAGTTTGGTTTGTAAGAGCTACACATCTCTTGCGGGAGCAGATCCCGGCATTGAAAAGAAACTCCTGCAGTACAGAAAGGCCAAGAAAGGCAGGCAGATTTTCAGCATTCAGACACAGTTTGGTATTTCTTAGCTATAGCTGAAGGCGTACGGTGGGGAAGGACACACTGCAGTGTTTCCAGAGCACAGCAGTTCTCCAAAGCAAGTGCACGTGGCAGAGGTCAGCCCTTCCCTGGCTCCTCTCCTCAAGGAGGGAAGTGCTTTTGCCCATCTTTCCTCCAGATGCACTTGAAGCCAGCTGGAGAAGGAGGGGCACATTCCTGCCTGCACCCCCCTTCCCCTCAAAGAGGCTGTCAGACATAGGGAGGGTCTGTGATTTATCTGAGGAGGAGCCAGCTACTTACCTACCCCTGTCCCAGTGCAAATATGCAGCCCTTGCAGGTGCAAAAGGAAGCGGCGGTAAGGCAGACCCTGAGGGGACCATGGCTGGAGAAACACATTTGGAAAGCCAGACAGAAGGGGACAGAAATGGGGAGCCTTGGGAGTGCCCGACACAGATGCAGGCAAGCAGGAGAGAGGGAAGCAGGTGAGAGATAACAGGGAGCTGTGTCACACAGAACAGTTTCACTAACAAGCACTGGTAAAAAAAATACAAAAAAAAAAATTGAAGAGCTGCAAGATGGGCTGATCCAGTTCAAGGCAAGCAACTTCAGAGACACAGAGAGCAAAACCATCCCACTATGCTCGTACAGGTCCAGCACTGACAGAAGAGGGCACATGGAGAGGAGGAAAAGAATAAGTCTTCAGTCTCCAGATTAGGTGGCTCACAGAAACAGCCCTCTCACACCCACCCTTTGATACCCTCTCCTCCCTGAGTGAACAGGGACTGCAACCCGCCCCGTGCAAGCAGGTTTCTATAGTGAAGAGGTGAGCAACGTGCTCTCAGAAACAGCTACAGGTAGCAAAGGCAGAGACACAAAAGCGCAGGCGCGTGCACGGCGTAAGGCAGCACTCCAACAAAAATACCGACGTTGCAATCGTGCGAAGAGAGAGCGTGAGATTTACAGTATGCCTGGGAAGGGGTGGGGGGGGGTGGGGAGAAAAAAATCTGTTCTGTCTCCAAGGCCGAGCTAACCGAGCCAAGTCACCCTGTCGCCTCTTAAGATATTTCTTTCCAGATAAGATATCCCAACTCCCCCCTCCCCTTTCCAAATAAAGTGCAGATGGTCAAATATTACTGGTCCATCATCTGCCAGTTTCAGTCAGCATTGGGGAAATTAAACCCAAAAGCACAATATTGAAAAAAAAAATCCCCAAACAACCCACCCTCAAAATCCCTTAGACTGAAGTCTCAGACTGTAAGCGGAGGACAAATTTATGAGATTTAGGGTCTATGAACTCTTCTGAGAGTTTGATGAAGGGGATTTTCTTCACATTAACAACAAGGCTGAAGTCCAAGCACTTGAGGACAAAAACAATGCCGTCTTGTAACCCGCTTGTGACTGCTTCCTCACTGACAAGCGTCCACTGCTTGGAGAACCAGCGATCCCTGTCGTACTGGAGGGTTGGGCCCGGGTTGAGGTAACGCTCCAGGAAT